GTCTGATCTAATGCCTGATGAAGTATATAGAAAAATACCTACTATGAGGCTATGTCTAGACTGCAGGTTTCTTTCGGAAGAACCTTTTTTCAGAAGAAATCTTCTGAAAAAACTTCCAAAAGAGAGTGTCCACACACAAAAGCACATCGAAAAAGTGATTTGCTTTTTCGAAAGATAGCGTCTACACTGAACGGATGCTATCTTGCATTTCAGCTGTGATTACTATGGACGGAGTGGCCACCCGGGCATCTGTGCATTTTCCTCTTTCCTCTTCTTTCAAAAGAACTCCCTTTTCCCTGTCCACACACACCTTTTTCTGAAAGAACTCTTTCGGAAAAAGGATTCTTCATTGTAGGAAGAGGATTACCAATACCAGAAAACCCCCTCTTCTCTTTCAATTTTTTTTCTGAAAGAACGCGATTGCAGTGTGGATGTAACTCAGGTTTTGTCGGAAAAATCGCTGTTTTTCTGACAAAACTCTGTAGTGTAGACATACCCTGAGTGTTGGATCTGGCCCTAAGAAGCTGATTCTGCCATTCCTACCCATGCTGAGTAGTACCTTATTCTGCAAGTAGACCCAAGTGGATCATACATAGTTACAGCATGGAAAAAGGCACAGAGATGAGTGGGGAAAAGGAAATTAAAAGGATATTGAAGCAGACAACACTGGCAAAGCAGCTGGTGCCTGGTAAGTGATTGAGTGAGGTCACCCAGTGATAGGAGGAGGGGACTAACAGGAATTCCCTGAAGGACTCCGACAGGTGGAGAAACTGCTAAAGGAGAGGCTGAAAGGGAAGGCAGAAAGGCCATCTGGAAAGCTACTGAGGATGTGCCTGCTCACCGGAGAGTTAACGAAGGTAGCTACAGGCTCTAGAAAATACACAGTTGTTCATGGCCTCTGAGAGTTTGAGGATGTGCCTAGCCATGGGCGCTCCCTTAGTATTTCTTGTTTGTAGCTCTGCTTATACACCCTGTCTGTAAGCATTCTTCTAGCAGGAGAGACACATGGGAATGTGATTCAGAGGCAGCCTCCTTCTGTCCTCAGCTCATTTGGCTCAATGTGTTAATCTCACTATCTAATCACCTTAGGGAGTCACCTTGAGAATTCTTTTCAGTGGAAATGTCAACCACTCTTCAGCCAAATCTGTTAGCTCATCCCACTGCAACATCCGAGAAAACCCACTAGTACCTCTAAGAGCCTTCCAGGTCATCAGGCCAGCCAAGCCATTTATTAGTGCAGAAAGCCATCTGGCAAAGCGGTAAGAATTAAGCTTGATCCAATTCCCAGTGAAGTCACTGACAAATCAGTGACAGCAACAGCTGATGGTGATTTCATTAAGAGTGGCAAGCAAATCTAGTCTTTCACAGCAACCCTGCTATTGTAGAATGTCAGGAGTGCTGCTAGACAGGTCTGAGGTGCATTGGCAAAGCTGAGAGGGGAAGCCTTCCGTCTACTTTGTCTAAACAGGACTTTACTTCCATGAACACTAACTGAGAGGACAATTAGTAACCTGATGGTCAAACCTCACCTATATACACGGTTCCATTGAAATCAGTGGGGGTTACATGTATGTATCTTGAGGGCAGAATATGATTTTTGATTCTTAAACCCACTGATTTTTCCTTTAGCTTCCTGGACTTTTGGTCTAGGCCATTCCTCACATGTTGATCTCTGATTTGGTGAGCAAAGGGGATTGATCTTGCCCAGTGCAACACATACCCATTATAAACAACTAACAGTCCTGTGGTACCTTGGAGACTAACAAAAGTATATAGGATCATGATCTTTTGTGGGTAAAACCCACTTCATCAGATGAGTTGGAGTGGAAATTACAGAATCCGGGGTAGTATATATAACAGTAAAAGAAGTTACCTGTCAATTGTAGGACCAATGTTAATGAAGCTAAGTAAGTCAGGCTGGGTGCGTCTCATTCATACCATGTGAGTAGGGCAAATTGCTTTTGTAGTGTGTTAACCAGTTGAGATCTTTATTCAAGCCTAAATTGATAGTGTTGAACTTGTAAACAAGCTCCAGTTGAGCGCTGGGTGATAAAATTCTTTTGTAGAAGAATGGCTACTTTAAAATCCATTACTAAATGTCCAGGGGGGGGTTAAATGTTCCCTTACATGTTTGTGTGTTACCATTCCTAATATCTGATTTGTGTCCATTTATACTTTGGCACAGAGACTGTCCAGTTTGGCCAATATATATGACAGAGGAGCATTGCTTGCACTTGATGGCATATATTACATTAGTGGATGTACAGATAAAATGCAATTCTTGCTGAGAAGACCTGATTAAACAAGGTACAGTGGAAAATTAATTCATATCTCATAGATTGGGAATTGAGGCACAAAGAGATTGTGGTTTTCCCAATTTAAAAGAGGAAGGTGATAGAGATAGGAGTCCCAGTCCAGAGGCTTAGCAACCAGGCATGTTTCTTTAAGGACTAAACGTTTGACTTAAAACATTTAGGGATAGATTTTCAAAGCCTCTTAAATGGGAGAGACACATGAGAGTGTGTGTTCTCCCACAGCAAGGGCAAAATACCACCAATGTGCATGCAAAATCAGATCACTGCACTGTTGTAAATGCCTGGTGCACAGAAATGCAGTACGCAGGACCAGATCTAACATGGGTGAGGCACGCAGTCACCAACTTCTAGGGAGTGCAGTACTGCTCTACTGCTCAGCTTTCACTCACGTATTGGCCAGTTGTGTGTGCACATTTACAAAAAATTGATTCAGCCACTTGGAGCAGCTAGGTGTGAAAACATTTTCTGCCCTGCTCAGCAAAATTGTCCATTTCTTGGTGTACATTGAATTTGACTTCTCTGTTGCATTGTGCTTTGGAAATGAATCTTTATACAAAATGTTAAGAGCTAACATTCAGTAGGGAATTGTTGAAGCAGGTGCTTTTCCAGCTTCTGACAGTACTGCACATGGCTTCTCTTTGGGTACGTCTAGACTACAGGGTTTTGTCGACAGAAGTTTTGTCGACAGATACTGCCGACAAAGCTTCTGTCGACAAAGAAAGCTGCTTTGTCGACAAACCCCAGTAGTCTAGACACAACCCTACATGCAATAACACCTTCTGTCGACCGAGTTCTGTCGACAGAAGGAGTTATGCCTCGTAAAATGAGGTTTACCAGCATCGACAAAACTGCTGAGTTCTGTCGACATAATGTCGACAGAACTCAGCAGTAGTGTAGACGCTGGTATAGTTTTGTCAACAAAACTCTGTAGTCTAGACACACCCTTTGTGTCCAAGATGGCTGTTGCTTTTAGCTACAATTGTTATTTCTAAGCCACCTAAACTGCTGTATGTTAACAACATATTACATTATAGTTCAGTTCTGGAGAGAATTGATTCTTCCTTTCATGTTAGCAGATGCTGTATATTGACTATATTAGTTGATCCTAAAACTAATCTTGAGAGGGGATTGGGGGAGCTTCCCTTCATATTTAACTCTGGAGTCAAATAGGGCCTTTTCTATGCTGAACTAGTTCACCTTGGAAGAGTTTAGATACTATGATGATGGGCACTATAAAGGGATTCCATTCCAGAATTTTTAGTAGAATAGAAAATGAAACTGTCTGAAAAATTCACCCCAGATTTTACATTAAGGGCATGTTAGGACAGAGCTTTGAGCATTTAGTCTGCACTTTATGGGTATCCACACAACACTGACATGTTCAGTAAAATTCTGTATTAGGAACATAATATTTTGTGGCTCCAACTTTGCTCACAGATGAAGGACTTCTGCTCCTTAAGGTTTGCACCCTCTAATACAAAGGTATGCCGAGACATCTATTTTCAATGGCTTAAATAATCCCCACACAATAAGAGGGCTGAGAGATGGTCACAAGCCTTGTGTGCTACATATGGCCAGTTAGAAAGCAGTAGTTTGGAATAAGCAGATAGGTATAACTGGAGTTTTAAATCCTGACCCCTCTAAAGTCCAGGTACGTCTGGATCTCACCTGTTTTTATGACTTGGGGTTCTGATTTGGGGATTCAAAACAGGAAGGAGCAGCTTCATCTCTGCTTCAGAACTGGAAGCATTTGACAAGAACACCACTAACATAATGGATCTTGAACCACATACTAGATTCAGCCTTAAATCATAGGGCTTGTTTGCACAAGTCGTGCTGAAAGAGTATTGTGTAAAAGTGCATGGAGGAAATACGGAGGCTACGTCTACACTGGCAGCTTCTTGCGCAACAACAGTTGTTCTTCAACAAAAACTTGCCAGCTGTCTACACTGCACGAGCGTTCTTCCAGAAGTAAATTTACAGTATAGCGTTGTAAAACAGGGCTTCTTCTGGAAGAGTTAGTCCTCTCCCCATAAGGAATAAGCCCTCTTGTGCAAGAGCTCTTCCAGAAGAGGCCAGTATAGATAGGCAACATGAATTTCTTGCGCAAGAAGCCCCTATGGTTAAAATGGCCATCAGATGTTTCTTGCGCAAGAGAGCGTCTACACTGCCATGGATGCTCTTGTGCAAAAGCACATCACTTGCGCTAAAGCACATGGCAGTGTAGACATTCTCTTGTGAAAGAGTTTTTGCTCAAGAACTCTTCCACAAAAGAGTTCTTGTGCAAGAAGCTGTCAGTGTAGCCATAACCTTAATGTGCACCTGGAGGGTCTCCACAGATCAATTAGCATGCAAAAGTGTGCTTTAGAAATCACTCACCCCATAGTATGCATTGCCCTCCATTAAATAAACAAGTCTTAAATCCCACCCTAAATCCATTGTAGTAATGGATTTGAACAATCCTTAATCTAACTCCAAACATACAGAATGGTGTGCTGCCCTCGTGTTTAGGTAATACAGTGATGGGTGTCCTAAAAATGTCTTAATTAGGTTAGATAGTTCCTCTTTGTTGCATACCTTTATAGTGTGTTTATACACTGGTACCTACCCACTAGGCAGTTATATATATCTACATGTTTCACTATGGACAGCACTGATTTTGGGACTGAACAAACCACATTCCACTGTTTTATAGTCAACAGTTATGAATTTATTGAGAAGTACATACACTAGAAAAAATAGTTCTTGATTTCCTGAAATATTTATTTGAAGAGTGATACAATCAAGAGCTTTTCTATGATTTTTGAATTTGATGCTTTTTTTTATGCTTTTTTTTTTTTTTTTACTCCTAGACACACTAAATTTTAGGGCTCTGCTTTTTAGAAAAGCATCTGTAGGAAGAGGCTATGGCTGATGTATAGCAGCTTGTTACAAAAAGGAAGCATTTTGACACAGCTCTATTGTGTGTGGATGATGTTATGATGCTGAGTCCCCTAAACCATGTTGGTACACGATCCTCAGAAACTAGGTCCCTGGTCCTTTTTTACCCCCTCACCACTTAACTTACAGGAAGGGCTATATCCCCAGATGGTGCAAACTGGCAAAGATCTATTGATTGAGGATCTACAATGCAGCTTTTAGGTGCTTTTCTAGCTGGCTCACCCAGAATGTCTCCCAGAGTGCTAGGGAAGTGCATACTTCAAAGAGAACGGAAACACCCCTTTTCAAGGTGCTGTGTGTGTTTCTTCCTGTACTGGCCCTGCTCAGTTATCTAGGTGGGAATAAGATGGGTCCAAAACCCAGCTCCCTTTGGGTTGTCTAGTATTGCTGCTTGCATTAGACACACCCAGTTTTTAGTCAGGGAGGTCAAAGAGTGAGCCTTTTCCTTCCTTATGAGAGGCAGCACGCCTCCCTCATAGTGCACCCATACAGGGCTAGCCACAATCCAACCTTAAAGCCATTATCTGGTCAGGTAAAAAAACGAAAATGTGGGACAGTTGATCTCAGCCTGCTTTCGTCTCCCTTCTCACTCTTTTTTTCCACTGCTGATTTCTTCTCTCTCTCTCTCAGGGTACATCTACACAGCTATTTTGGGATACCGGAAGTATCCTGAAATAGTTACCCTGGGTCTTCACAAGCCGCCCATTATTTCAAAATATTTTTCGAAATCACGGGCATGCTATTTTGGCATCTTTGTAACCCTCGTTCCACGAGGGTTAAGGGATGTCTCAAAATAGTGCATTATTTTGAAATGTGGCGCTGTGTAGATGCGCCAAGTTTCAAAATATGCTATTTTGAAATACAATCGAAATACGATACTCAATTTGCATAGTGCAAATTGCACATCTTATTTCAATTTTTCAGGCTCACATCCCTGACCCTATTCCCCACACACATCCCCCAGCTCCCTGCTACCTCCTCCTTCCCAGCTGTACTCCCCACCCAGGGCTGCTTATCTCCAGCCCACCACCTCTGGACATGGCCTGCGTGCTGCCAAAGGCTGAGTCACCAGTGGAGTCGCTTAGGCTTGTTTCTTGAAAGCCCCCCGAAGCTCCCTGCATGCGCTTGTATCTCATTCAAAAACAAAAAATAATCAAAAGCGAGAAGACATGATTTTTCCCTGCTTGCTCTGGGAAGGGAACTCATTGATTGCTGTTCTCTGAAGATTTGGGCAAACTAGGTTTTAAGTTTCCATGTTCACACCCCTGAATTTCACTTTGAGTGTCAAGTTCAAGTCTGCAACCACAAAGTCAAATTCATCTAAATTGCTGGGTTTAGGCAGGTTTGAGGCCATAGCTATACCAGGACACTTCACTGGTACTTGGCTTTTATTCCCAAGTCTTTATATAAAGCCAGGCTCACTTTCTGCTACTCAGGTTGCAAACAGCACTGAACCTTTCAGGCTAGCTTCTCAAATTTCATCATGCAAGTTTTCCACCTTTCTGAATACAGTGAACCTGATTCACCCTTTTACACCAGGGCTGTCTGACTCACTACAATGACTACAGGGAGACCTTGCCACCAATGTTTCTTTTAATGTTTTCTGTTCAGGTGCAGAATATTTTTTATTATGTGCACTAAGGCATATATGGATGTGTACCACCTGTAGAAACACATGCTGCTGGCTGCGGGAGGCAGTGGGTGCTCTGGTAATCAATTGGGCAGCACCTGAATCTCTCCTGAGTGGCCACCCAAGCCCACAGCTTACAGGGAACACTATTTTCTATCTATTGAATTGCAGACACCTTTGTACAAATAAAAGACTCTACAGAGTTGGCTGGAGAGAGAGAAAAGAGGCCTCAGTTCCAACAAAAGAGGGAAGTTTTGAGAAGATCACTGCTCATTTGGGAAGGTCGCTAATTGGGACTAGACCAGAGGCAAAACAGACAATGATACAGTGAACATTGTTCCCAACATGGATAGTTTTCAAGAGAGGAATTTGGTTTGCATATTAGTGTAATGCTGACTGACTCCAATAGTTAGCATCAAACCCGGGGACCTCTGGAGCTAAATGCATGAGCCTCTCCTGCATGAGCCAAAAGGTACTTGCCTCTCAACCAATACCAACTCAATAATCACTAGGTGGACTAGCTGCCACTAGACAGGGACAGAACAACACAGCAGGCATGGGTTATGTTCTTACAAAAATTGTAGGTGTGTTTATCTTACTTTATGTGGAGTCAGTGACCCAATCCTAAGTAGAGAGAAGACTTTCATCCTCCAGCAGATGCAACAGTAGGACACTCAAATCTCTCCCAACTATAAAATGGCATCGTTTTTGTTTTGTGGGGTTTAGTGATGCAGAGTTTTCCATGAACAAGAATTTTCTATGGTTTGATCAAAAGCATCCAGTAAGGGGGAAGAGCCAGTGTCAGGCACTTGCCTGTCCCTACTTGTTCCCTTTATGATTTTTGTTATTGTTCAGGACAAATAAAACAATTGTGTTTAAGGACTGGCCCTTCCTTCTGCAAAGTGCCCAGCCTCATTACTCTTCTAGAACCTTTCAAGGTTCTTCAGCTGTCAGAAGGGTTAGCTGCCATCTCCCAAGCTTTGGCAATGCAGGGTGCCCTACTGGAATTGCATTATTCTCTTACTTAATACAACACGAGTAAACTGATCAATGACAAGTACAAAAGCGAGTGTCTGGAATAAGGCTACTGGCGTGAGATGGGTCTGTTGAGCCACCACTCTCCTGAGGTTCCTCTGGATCGTTACCAAACAGATAGACAGCAAAGACCAAGGAGCAGCTAAATTGCGAGTTTGTTTTGGAAACAGGAACTAGGAGGAGCAAAGAACCTGAACCTTCTTGAAAAACAAGCTGCTAGTTTGGAGGACTGCAAAGCAGGTGTTGCAATATGTTTGTGCTCATCCCTGCTGGAGCAGAGAAAATGAGATACATTCACTGAATCAGAAAGAGACAGAGATTAAGGCAGTTTGAATGGTGTTACTGTATCCATAACCCCATACTAACTCATTACTACCTTGTTCAAAAAGGCTACAAACTACAGAATATTAGAGATCAGAACCTTAGGGACTAAGATATAAAAGATGTTCAAGGTCTGGTTGAAATTGAAATTGAAGCACACCAGGACAATAACATTTCATTCTAACCACCTCGAGTGATATTTAGGTATTGCAGTCAACTCCATTATGAGATCACCCAAATATTCATAGTCCCCGACAAACTTCAGGCATCACTGGACTGGTTAAATTATAATTTCCACTATAAATTTTCTGGCTTTCGTGTAGTACGATCAGATCTTCAGTGAGACAGTTTCTAAAGGAGGTTAAACTTTCTCAAGTGTCAAACCCCAACCCTGAAGCTGAGTCCATGCAGACAGAGCCCTATAGATTTTAGCTGATAGGAACTGCCTGAGAGGGGATGCAATTCTAGAATGGGGATCTAAGGCAAGTTTGCAAGCACATCATTAGGTAACTGCATGACTAAATATCCATTTTGCACAAGGAAATGTGGGTTTTGAACAAGCAGTGAGGGATGGGCAGAATTGTAGAGGCCTTTTTAGAAATCTTGGCCCTAAATGTGACTGGAACATCCCATTTGCCTTGCTTTCAACTGTACTAAATCAGTCTAATCTAAAGCCAACTGCTGTCAAAGGAAAACTTTCAATAGCTACCAATTGACTTTGGATTGGGCCCTGCGCCATGCAACACTACTCTCCATTAGTGCCGTTACTGGTTTTTCTCTTCATCCCACAGAAAATAGGTAGAGACAATTTAAGACATTTATCAGTTCTCTAGAAAGTTTCACACTAAATAAACCAGGATAGCTTGGTTCTCTGCTGTATTTGTGTAAAGTAACTGCAAAACCCACCCCCTTCCCCACAGAAAAGGCAGCTTATGAATGCCACAGGAGCACAATAAAGCATCTGAAATGGGTATGTCAATGTGTTATACATGTCACTATTATCATTAGATAGCGGACATCTTAGTAGTGTAAATGGGCCACGTGGAAAGAAAACCTCCTAAGTGATCATTAAATCACTCTCTCCGTTTCCTCCCAGAGTGGAGTTTCAGATCCCTGAAAACAGGGATGAATAGTAAAACACACACGGAGCCTGTTCCAGCACTGGGGTCCAGGTAGTTGGATACCTGCACCTGTGTAGAATCCCAGAAAAGTAAATGGGGGAGTTCAGTGCAGGATTGGTGCCCTGGCATTTACTAAAGCAGCTCTATGCTCAGAGAGACAAAGCCACAGGAGGGCACTGAGTGAGGCAGACAGACTCATAATGCAACACCTGCTGCTCACAGCTGCACCTCCCAGTTCTCCTGGGAGAATGCAGCAGGCAGCACAGCCAAGAGAATGTGTGGTTCCAGGAGTGATCAAATAGGCAATTGGCTTCTTTTGTTTTAAACACAATCCAATGCCGGGCTGTTGCTCCTCTGAACCAGCATCAGAAGTGTGGGGGGAAGCATATAAGATGATCGGTGTTTCTGTGACTTTAAATAATGTAACAGATGCAGAAGCTCTCTGAAACTGGCCTGATCATGTAGACAAATCCGCTGCCTGTGTATGTGGGTTGAGGCTAGGGCTGCAGTGAATGGCTGAGGAAGGGGAGGGAATAAATTGCTCTTCTCTTCACCCACCCCAACCTCCACCTCCAAACCAGAAAACCCCACTCTGCTTGGTCAATACCCAGCCAAGTGATATGAGATGGATCTTTTGACTCATCTTCTGAAGGCTGTGCCAAACACATTTTAAATCCCTCCTACCCCCCACCCAATAGCATTTCACAAGACAGGAAGCTCCCCTCAAACTGTGCACACAGATATAGGCTGAAATCTGATAGTAAAAAACAAAACCACATGGTCCTTCTCCCATCACTCGCATCTTCCCATTATAATGCAGTTTCCTTTCATTTATGGAGGTAGGCATCCAACCAGAGAGCTCCAGATTTCTTTAGGGATCTATGGAAAGAGAAGAGGCTTTAGTGAAGCAGGACTCACAGGCCTACTTGATCAGAGATTCTGCAAAAAGTTGCCTTCTTCTGAATGCAACCCTTTCTAAGGAAGTCGAACATAGGGTCCCATGCGTCTACACTGCAGGGCTTAACTCGAAATATGCTATGCAAATTGAGCTACGTCACTTGTGTAACTTATTTCGAAATAGCTTATTTCCAAATAGGGAGTGTCTACATGGCAGTTATTTCGAAATAGAGCACTCTTCCTCAGACTTCCCTTATTCCTTGTACAGTGAGGGTAATAAGAGTCAGAGTAAGAAGTCCTCCAGATTAACTGTATTTTGACACTATTTTGAAGTAACTGCCTGCTGTGTAGACACAGACTAAGATATTTCGGAATAGCGCTAGTTATTTTAAAATAATGTTGCTGTGTAGATGTACCCGGTGGCTACATGTACACTACGAGTTTTCTCTGCAAAAAATATGCTAATGAGGGACTCATTTGCATGAGTCACAATCTCATTTGCTTATTTTCTGCTGATCTGTTTTTGCAATGGGGTTTTTGTGCAAAAACAAGCAGTGTGGACGTTTTCTTTTTGCACAAGATAGGTAAACCTCCTTTTTTGGGGCATAAGGACCTTGCGGTAAAAGGGGTCTGTGTGTAAAAGAAAACATCCACATTGCTTGTTTTTGCGCAAAAATCCCAGTGCAAAAACGGATCAGCAGAAAATATGCAAATAAGATCATGACTCATGCAAATGAGTCCCTCATTAGCGTATTTTTTGCGGAGAAAACTGGTAGTGTAGATGTAACCTGTAGGAATCAAATTGATTCCACAGACTTCAAGTGCATTACACTGATTTACACCCACTGAGGAGTTGACCCAAGAGAAAACAAATGGTAATTCTACAAACTGGAATTATGACTGCCTAACCATGTAGAACAAAGTACACACATAAAATAATTTCCCACTTCTCCCTCTGCATCACTCTTCATATCAATGTTTCAGCTACATTTTTTCCATCCGTGTGTGGAATCAATTTTGTTATGTGCACAGGGACATGTGCAGATGTGCACCAGCGGTAGAAACACATGCTGCTGTGGGTGCTCTGTTAATCAGCGGGGCAGCATTTGAATCTCTCCTGTGTGTCTGGCCAAACACTCAACTTACAGAAAACACTGCCCCCTCATACAAAATTCCCTCTCACATCAGCTCTTTGAAGACAATCAGACATGGAGATTGCAACAAATTTGAGCTAACATGGAAAATCCTATCAATGAGACCCAGTGGCTGGGCAAGCATGCATGGCATGGAAGTGATATGGTTTGACTTCGGGAGACTTCCACAGAGAAATTGTTGGTTCTTAATCTCCCAAATGAGAGCCACACAGACTTTCTCACTAAACACAGGGGGTTGCTGCTGCCACATTTGGCAGGGCTGACACTATGGGCCAGATTCTGACACTCTTACTGACACTGAATCATAGTCCCTTACTGCACAGTTGGGCTCATGGATGTTAATGGGGAGTGAAGCTACCTGAAGCTGTCTCTTTCTGAGTATGCAGAATTTTGCACAGAGTGTTACGTACCCTGCCCTTTGTAATAGGATTTTGTATAAAGTGTCAGAAAGTAGTTCAATATGTTCTGCAGCAGGAACTCCTTCTAGATCAGGGGTGGGGAATCTAAGGCCTGGGGGTCAAATGCAGCCCCCAGCTTACCTGGATCTAGCCCGAGGAACAGGGCTTCCCCCAGCACTGGGGAGCCCACACTGGTGAGAGGTAATTTTTTTTGTTTGTTTGTTTTTGTTTCTCACTTGTGTGCAGCTCCCGACTGATTTTTCTGTGGGTCAGTGGCCCCTGATCCCAAAAAGGTTTCCCACCCTTGTGCTAGAGTTCAGATAACACCCGTGTTTCTGAGATGTTCTAGCCAAGTAGCCACTGTCCAGAGAAACCTCTGGCAGAATCCCCCTGTGCATCAGAGCAGTACTTGATGCAGCTGAGGGCATGTGGGGAAGAACAAAGGTGATTTTCTGCCACTTTTCTACCCCTCTAAGGAGTTCCTTGGAACCTGTTACTGCAGCAGGTTGTTTTCATATCCCCTGCCACCCTCAGTAGTCCCCCTTGGAATAGGGTGTACAGAACCAGTGATGCTCTCTCTTTGCTAGCTGAGGATTCTGCAGTGGTAGAGTAATCATCAGCTGCTCATTTAGCATATAAATCCTGAGCATATTTATGCTTTAAAGTCCCCTCTCTGCTGCTAGAGGGTCACAAACAGGATTCAGTTTGGCTCATGATCTGGTCCTTTTGTTTTAAAGTCCACCTATTTCCCCCATCCAGATAATATGACACTTCTTCGGGAATGCCAGCTGAGAAATAGGAAAGTTTTGTCTGTGATAGTCAGATGTGAAATGGCTACTTTGGGTCTAGTATCAGAGGGGTAGCCGTGTTAGTCTGAATCTGCAAAAGCGACGAGGAGTCCTGTGGCACCTTATAGACTAACTGAAGTGTAGGAGCATAAGCTTTCGTGGGCAAAGACCCACTTCGTCAGATGCCACAGGACTCCTCGTTACTTTGGGTCTGTAGCTGCTTGATTGAAAGGGCCAGGAACCAGAAAAGCATGGTATGAAAGGTGCTAGAAGGAGTGAACATCTCTTAGGGGGAATTCAGTAGTGACTTGGTGACCATTGAGCAAGTCATTCCTGATGTCTGCTTGTTTGAGGACCAGGGTGGAAGGTAGTCTGTGGGTTATAGAGGTGGAACCTGCTCTTTTTGAGAAAAAAACTGTCTTTTTTTCCCCTCTATGACATGACATCATTTCTACAGCAAAAATCCAGGTGCTTTTTAGATTGAAGCAACAAGGTGATCAGTCTTATATCAAACAAACATTTTACGGCTCCAGTGCCACTGCTCTAGGCACAGGTACCTATGAAGCAGAGCTTTTTATATTGAAACAGAGAAGACCTTACTTGTTAGTACAGGCATTCCAGGCTGCACACACCCATGACCATACTGAGGGCTCCTTACCCAACAATGTCTATGAATGCCTTCCCAAGAGGTTTCTCTTCATAGTGGACTCCATACTTGGTGCACAATGACTTCACCAATGGCGCAATCTTGTAGTAATTGTGACGTGGCATTGTGGGAAACAGGCTTGAATAAAGAAATAAAGAGAGCCTGAGAAAACCTAGCGACAGTCCTCTGGGAACAGACACTTCTTTCTGAGTCCTCTTAGGGCTAATTACTGCCTCCTCCATGAGCAAAACAGGCAGACAGACTGTGAGAGGGAGAGGTAGAAATCCAAGCTTTGAAGTACTCCCTTTAAAGAAATGCTTTGAAAACTGAATGTTTTGATTTCCACTCCTGTTGTATCATGGCCCAAAAGAAAAAATAATTAGAACTGATCAGGCTAGAAAACATTTCAAGATTAGGAGAAATGTATTTACAGACAAGGGGAGTGCTAGAAAAATGAGGAGTGGAGAAACCTCACGTGATCAACTGAAATGGCTGTCCATTCCCTTTGGACAACAACTAATTATCTACTGAGAAGCTGAATTGTTGGGAAGCTCATAGACCAAACCGATAAAGAATCTGTGGTCTGGTTACCCTCTGCTGCTCAGTAGGATTCTTTTTAATTCCCCAAGTCAACTTCCAGGTCCTTCACGCTTACCCCCTGTGATCTCCCCTCCCTTTTTTGCATTGCCATGAACAGCATTTTGCATTACTGACCTTAGTTTTTGACATTTTTGCTGAACGAGAATACCCATAACTGCAAACAATCTTGTGTAGTTACACATCAGTTACATACATCAGAGGGTGGATAGAGGCAGAGGAAATTATTGGAGAAACAATCCAAACCAAAAGAGGCTAATGACCTGATTTAATATCTGTTTTAATCAATGAGTCCTGGATCAGACTCTAAATTAAGATTGTGAGGGTGAAAAAGAAATTTACTAGTAGCAACAGGTAAAAGATATTTGTGTTTAGTGGCAAAATGAGAGGGATCAATGCAGTAGTTTTTTCTGGTTTCATCATGTTCCTTGGGTCCTTTTTTCTTCCCTGCTCATTGCTGCCCTATAGCACTCTCACCTCTCCCCCAACCCTGCCTGGCCAGGTGGTGACCTGGTTATGTCCATCAGATTCCTTCCCATCCTCCTGGGCCCATACTCACTGGTGCTCAATTTGGAAATTCAGATGCCCGGTAAACCAGTCGTTGAAAAAGGACTGCTCGATATTACAGGTAGCTGCCAACTGCAAAGACAAGATGCCAACAGTGAACTTTAATGAATCCTGGGCCTTAAATCAGTTGGTGCAGGGGTCTTCTTTCTACATGCTACAGAAAGCAGAAGGGGCACTTCAAACCAAGTGAGTCGTGTACCTTTCTGTACTGTCAAGCTGTTGGATGAAATATTGTCTCAGATCGCTTCTACTGCACTGGCTGTATTCCCTATTCTCCTCTAAACCAGGCTAGCCTTTTGTTTTATTCAAAGTAAACTTTGTAACAAAGGGGGTTTGGCTTTGGTGGCCACAGTTTTAAGCTTAACAGAGTGAAAGTCACTTCTGCTACTTGCTTCAAAGTTAGTCTCTAGAAACACAGGTAGTGACCATGTAGACATTCACTAATATAAGGGTTAGGCTATTTTATTAAAGTTACAATTAAAGTTAGGATTACCCAAGCACACAGAAATTCTCTACAGACTTATGTTCAAGTTACACATGTAGTTACAGGTGGCCCCCGACTTGCGACGTGATTGGTTCCCGGGGAAGTGTCGCAAGTCGGGGGCGTTGTAACTCAAACCTTCATTTACGATAGGTGCCGTCGTAAATGTGGGCCGAGGATGTAAGTCAGGTTTTTTTGGCCCCTTCTGCGCTTACAAAAATGGTTGTAAGTGCAGGGGGTTGTAACTCGGGCGGTTGAAAATCAGGGATTTCCTGTATACTGTGTTAAGGTCTGATGGGTCAGGAGAGAGGTTTCCTGCTGGAGTTTCCCAGGCTGCTCAGTTTCCTCATTTTGGACATCCTCCTTTTTTAATGTGATTCTGTCTATATCTACATTCTGCACATGTCCATAAAGTGTCCCTCTTTCTCTAATTGAGCTGTGTTCCCTGCAAATTTAAGGAACCCCAATTTTCTATGGGCTGAGTAAGTTCCCTTTATTTTCATTAGCCTGGATGCACAACCTATAATCCATGATTAAGGCACATGCGGTGTTTTTATGATCTACTATTAATCTTGTAGGCAATTCTGCACAATATTATTACTTGGTGCCTCTTTCCACATAATCTTAAGGCATCTGGTTATTTTCTGGCACGTATGTCATTATTTCTGGTCTCCAAGCCCTAAAATAGCTGAGCTCAAGTCTTGCAGGCTTTAACTTAAGGCTTTTTACTATTCAGCTTGTTTTATTCAAGTCTAGTACATAGTTCAGTAGTTAGAGGAACTGCCTTTCTCTTTTATAATCCCACAGATCAATTCTAATTGACACACAGTGAGTATAGATGCTATAATGTAATCCCAAAATTACACAATAAATGAACAATGAACTAAAATCAGTGTTTGCACCAGGGGTTCTCAAACTTCATTGCACTGTGATACTTGTCTGACAACAAAGTTTCTATGTGACCCCAGAAGGGGGCCCTGCTGCTCCAGCTGTGGGGGAGGAGGGAGGGAAAGATGGGCCACACCTTGAGCCCTGCTGCCCCAGGTTGGAGGGGTGCTCAGGCATTAGTTTCAGTCATGGGTTGCAATAAGTCTAATGCTGGCCCTGGTGACCGGTGTTCTCCCTAATTTTTCCCACTCCTGAGCAGAATGAATGTTTGTTGTGTGCACCAATATGGAGGTGATGTGCGACATGGAGATGGCGTGCAACACATCTCCTTCACATTGGGACACACAACAAAACTGATGTGGCAAGGCTGGGGCCAAGGGGGGTCTGAGTGTGGGAGGGATCTAATGCCTGGGGCAAAGGGGTGGGGTGCAGGAGTATGGGGGATGCAGCTGAGGGTGGGACTCTGGGGTGGGGCTGGAGCTAAGGGGCTCAAGTCTGGGACAGGTTGGTGAGCAGGAGTATGAGGGCTCTAGCGTGGGGCCAGGGATGAGGGGTTCAGAGGGTCAGAGTGCAGAGATGTGAGGGAGGCTCTGGGCCACAATAGGGGGGCTCCAAGGCTGGGCTGCTCAGGTTATGGTTGCATTCAGGTTCAGGGACAGGCACCAGGTTTAAACTGTCCCTCCCCCAGTCAGATGGCAGTCTGGAAGCAGCACTAGGCTGGGGGTGGGGCAGCCTTCCTCACCTGCGGTGGGTGCCTTGAGCATCTGTGAGGTGCTAAACAGGCAGCTGCGTGGCCAGACAGCTTACAGGAAACGTATCTGGTGACCCAGTTACTGGCATTGTGATGCACTTTGGGATTCTGACTCAGTTTCAGAACCGCAGCTCTAGACCAATTTCATCTGGCCACGGCAGACCTGCTGTCAACTCCCCTGATGCTCCCTGGGGCTTGAGCAGTTAAACACCACTTTGCAGGCTGTCTTGTGATCCTCTCATGATAACAAGGCTGCTGCAGGGCTGTTCCCACTCTTTTAGATTCCTATCTGTTCTTCTTTTAGTTATCATAATGCTACCTCCCTATCTCTAATGGCATGTTGCTCCTGAGGACTCTGTCCCTTCTTAACCAGAGGCAGATTGACAGAGAGGGCTGGGGGCACGAACAGAAGAGTGACCAACTCCACCACTCCCTCTAGGGAATAATCACATTCTCTTGCATGGCTCCATGAGCCTAGGAAGGAGAGAAAATCACAGGCATCAAACCCAGGCCCTTGTCACTAGAGAGGCTTGATCAGGGATTCTCAAATTTCAGAAAGTGGACTGACTATGTGATGCCGCCTAGAGGTTGCCAGACTACCTCAGACCCAAGGTTCATCTAGTTGGCATCCTGCCTTCACCACAGCCTGTACAGAGCGAGGCAAAGCACGAGGCCATTCCACAGCCAGCCAGCTGTGCAATGCTATGACTTTGTGGGCGGTGGGGATAGAAGGGAGGGAACAGGAAGATACCATCCCAGCTGGGCACAGGTCATCCTCTGAACCCTGAAGTAGGAGCTTTGAGCAGCCTGGGAACATTTGCTTAGCTGGCATAGCATTGTTATTCATGAACATAAAATTACATAGCGTTTCTTAAAATCCTCTTCCTTACTTTTCCTTGCTAAGCTGTGGCAGTGAATTCTGTGTGGTGACTGCATGAGTAATAGCTGTTTCCAAAGAACTCAGCTCAAAGCCACATTCATGTCAGAGTTAGTGTCAGAGCTGTTCTTTCTCCAAACTCCCCCTTCCAACAAAATAGGTAAGCATGCGCGGCACGTCATGCACATGAGTAGCTGACTACACTGAGACTTTCAGTTAAGAAAATGTTCAAGTGTTCAACACAGCTCAAGTGTTTACTGGATCAGGCCCACGAGAGAGATGGTGACTGCCAGACTTTGAAGGTTAATCCTTGAGGGCCTCAGTAGATAGTGTAATTTGATGTAGGAGATGGTTTTCCAATCAACTAGTTAGGCCCACTTCATACTGATGTTATTGCAACTATTTCTGATTTACACCAGCCTAATGGTGAAGGGAGGCAGGCCAAGTGAGGGCTGAATTAGTCTTAGAACACTGCAGGTAAGAGGGCAAAGTAGTTCCTCTTCTGGGTGTATATGTTTGGTGAGTGTATGGAAGGCATTTTGAGCCACTGCAACCGCAACCACTGGTTTTCACATGAAGTCACAGGACTTCTCCACTGAAGTCAAAGACTGGGGATCTGGCCCACTGACTTCCATGGAGTTCTGATTTACATATGCGTTTGTTAACACTTTATGCAGGAAGGTTGTTATGAAACCCCTTGAGCTTTGTACTCCCTCCATACCTGAATGAGGAATTGTTTAAATTCCCCTCTCAATATGTAATAATTCAGAGGTCAGATCCAGCATACAGATTTGGATTTCCACTTCCTCATAGTCAGCTTTACGCCCTGAGGGGAGCGGGGGAGGGACAGGAGGGAAGAGGCAGGGAAGGGTCCTAGATAGCTGTTATGCTTTAAGGGTGCTAAACTGGGCTCAGCCTAAATTTTGGGGTGAGGTAGTCAGAGACAGTGAGAATCCAGCCATTCTCTGAAGGGCAAGTGAATTTCTAACCAGTTTTGGGATATGAATACCCCAGCTGTTACCTGAGAGCTGAGCCAGTCCTTATGCTTCTCGCAGTCAATTTCCATGGGAATATGGTTCATCTGCGTGACCCACACAAACCAGTGACTCTCCAGAAACCTTCAAAGAAAACGTAACAATTCACAGTGCCGGTCAGGGTATAATCTAAGCAGCTCACCATCCTCATACAGGTTAGTGTAGGTAAAGTCAACAAAGGGCATGTGGAGAGAAGTGTACAGGGAGCAGCCATGTTGTATACAGAGGAGGCAGAGGGAGCTAGAGGAAACTTTCCCAAGATTATGGAGTGGCTAGCTTTCTGATTCTGGGCAGTGGAAGGAATCAGCTTTGCAGTAGGTTTTTCTTTCTCCTTTGAGTCTCCGTTTTAGGCTTAGGGGTTAACGTGATTATGAGGATACATGACGGTTAAGATAACCCTTAGTGTCTATCTCTCTTGAACTCTGGTTCTTCTGAGTAGATTACTGTTTCACACCCTTCTGCCTTTACAAGCTTTGATTCTCCCTTAGTTTGAGAAATATAGGGATGGGTCGCCAGTCTGAACAAAATAAGAACCTTTTTGAGCTTTTTAATTTCCTGGTGGAAGTATTCACCTCACTAGACCCTTCTCCCAGCCTCATTTCATTGTTAGGTTTCTGGCTGTCAAGCTTAGCAAAGAGGACAAGAATGGTAGACCCTGGAAACAGAACTCTCTTTTTATGCCTACTTGCTAGGCTGAGGTTGCCAGGGACTTAGACAAGGCTGCCCTCGTGCTGAACTTTGGACTTATTCTTTAAAGAACCAGAGGACTTCAGTCTCCACACTCATCAACTGCGATTAAATTTTTTAATCATGCGATTAATTGTGATTAAATTTTTTAATCGCGTGACAGCTCTAATTTTTACACAGTTTTGCAAAAATAAATTTCTATGGACCCCAACAGTGGAACTAAATTCAGGTCAGCCTCAGGCAGGGACATGAGCTCGCAGTCACAGACACTGCTTCCAAGATAGGGACGTGAACCTTAATACAGTCCCATGGTCTGCAATTTCAGTCCAGTCAATCATAGCACCGTCTCTGTACTAGGGGGTAAAACAAATAATCAGTGAGCTTATGGGGCCACCGACCATCCGGCAAGCCATGCTATATTCAGGGAATTCCAGTGAAGAACAGCATTTGACTTCTTTCTCCCAGAGCTGACAGGCGGCAGCACAATCAGTCATGAGAGGGAGGGCGCACCTTACATCATTCCGAATTTACCTTCCAGCTGGCCTGGGAGGAAGCTGTACTGAAGTGCTGTGGAAAGAACCGAATCCCAAAATTCTTTGGAGACTCAGACCTAGTGTTTGAACTTTCCAAGGGTGGGGAAGAGCAAGGGAGGAAAGAATGAAGATTCCCATCTCTACCTGCTGTCACCAGTGGTATTTACCCCCTGGCTTGAAGTAGTAATAATAATCACCAAAGACTGGTTTCCATCATCAGCAACCTCACTATAAAAATTGTTTCAGAACCCCTAGCCATCACCGCCTCTAGTTGGTGATGAGAGAGCCTAAACACTAGAATCAAACCTGGAGGGGGGTGAAAAGAGAATAAAAAGGGGAAAGGGCTGGAGGATATTGAGGCCAAAAAAAAGCTAATCAAGGCAGTGGGATGTAGTGTTGATTGGCTAGATCAGTGGAGAGAATCTCGGTTAATGAGGGAGAAAGACATGGCATAGATGTGTTATCTTGACATCGTTCATCATTTGGGCTGTGTGATGCCCAGGTTGGGGGGGAAGGGGTGAGAGGGGACAACAGTGTCTCTTACCTGACAAAGGTGAGGAGAAACACGGATCCCAGAACTCCATAAAAAGGGATGAATGTGATGAAATAACGCATATAATAACTGAAGGCCCAGGCCAGGTCCTAGGGGAAGAAAGAAGAGAGAATGCTTTACAGGCAACAACCCTCCCTGCCCTCAACACCCTCTCCTTAAGCCAGCTTTCTTTTGCAGAGTGCACAGAGTCCTCTTCTCTTTCCTCCCAGATAAGTATCTCTCCTCCATCCACATGGGACACACACGGCAGAGATGATCTGTCACTCACCGCCCAAAACCTGTGTCTGACCATGGTCATGATGATTTGCATTTGGAAGTACACGGGGATGAGGAGAGGTGGGAAAACTGAAAGGCAAACAAAAGACAGCAGGTGAGGGAGACATATGCAGCGAACAGACATGCTGGGGGCCTGAAAATAATAACTGAGGCAAGAGCTTGTGATGGGGAAACCTGAACTCTGGTACTTTGAGCAAAGAGAGGAAGTGTCTCTCAGCAAAGAGAAGAGGCATTTCCTCAGTGTTCTGCTCACGTTCAGGAATGGAAGATTCTAGATTAGCAATGAGCAAGTCCAGGACTTCTGTTGACATGTTCATCTATGAAGGGCTGCCTCCTAGACAAAGTCACTGGGTTTTACTTTATTTAATCTCTTTGGTGGTGGTAAGGATCCATGGAGCTGAGCAATGATGTCATGAAGGAACTGGGCTGCCTGCTTCTTTTGCAATTAAGATATGAAAGGGATGGTGGGCCTTGGACAGGGAGGAAGTGAAGAATAGCTTTGCTGAGGCAAAAAGGAAGCTGCAAGGTGAAGATGCATCTCCTTCCTTTCAGCATATAGGGAAGGTGGGGGATTTAGCATACTCACCTAGGAAGAAGTACTCGTGCTGGTGATTGTAAGGGAGGTATTTCAGCTTCTTCTTGCCATACTGGAGGAGGAGACAAATGAAAGAGAATTGTCTCAGCTTATTCCACCTACAAGGAAACTTTCTCCATGGGAGGAGGTGCTCAATGACACCTCTTTATTTTGTTAACCCTCTTCAGTCAGAGCTGTGGCTTTATGGCTTAATCCTACCCTACTGAAGGTACTCAAGGTTTTGCCATTGCTTTACACGGGCCAGGAGCAAGTCCTTAGAAAGCTGTCTTAGCATACTTCCTTCTCCAAAACTACACCTAGAACTGGAAAAACAGGTCATATTTTAAGATGTCTTAACTGACTGTTGTCACGGTTTATCTTGCCCTCCTAATATATGTTTAATCATGACTTCCTTGTGTACATTTGCTGTAAGTTCCCATTTAAAATCATCTATCCTGAGTACTTATTGGGTCTCTAATACCAAAGTACCAGAGCATCTCACAGTGTTTCATGTACTGGGAAGTAGGGAAGTGTCATTATCGTCCTCATACAGAGGGGGAACTGAGGGAGAGAGACAGGTCCAGAGTTTTAAAGATATTTCAGTGTTGCTCCACTCAGTGTTTCCATGCGTAACTAAACCTAAGTCTCAGTTTCAGAAGTGACGTGAGCAATTATGGGTTACAGTGGCATGAATGTGCCTCAGCATTTTCCTTTATGTTTTCCTGTACTTTGTTTGTTACAAATGCCTTGGTGTGGTGTTTCAGAGCCACAAAGCTTTCTAAGTTTTTTTTCCCCTGCGTATCCTTATGCTGATATGTCATATACCACCATTGGTCTTTATTGTACCCTTCCCTTAGGTTTTTGTACAATAGACTGTAAATATTGTGGCCCTAGAGAGTTGGATTTAATTGCATTTCCTTAGTAGATGCAGTTACTGTGTGCAGTGTAGCTGACTCGTAGTTGCTGTGGGAACTATGGCTCTGAACCTGGGCTGTTGTAAATCAATATAGCCCCATTGATTTCAAGGATTTACACAGCTGAGTATCTGGCCCTCTCTTTTTGAATGTATGGGTTTTTGTAGGACGAGGCTGTGTCCCAGTGACACAGCCCCAGACTGAATTACCCTGAGAAGGAATTACATCTCAGGGGGCTGCAGTTCCCTCCATGTTCCCTGCTTGCTTAAGGGGCGTAATATACTGGCAGCAAATTACCATTCACTCTGCTATTCTAGCTCAGCCCTGCTGGATGGTGGACTGGGAAATGCAGCCAACGCTCTGCATATTCCCTGCTCCACCCCAACCTGCTCCAGTGGAGAAGTAACTAAGCATGCAGCGTCCCTTATCCCTGCGTACCCAGATCCAAAGCCTGGGCTGCCCATACAGGGGCACACATGGGGGATTCCTCTCCCTTATGCCCATCTATGGACATGCAGTACAACCAAGCCATTGGTGTTTAACACATCAGCACTACAATTGCATTAGTGTAGGTTCCAAGAGTTTTCTCCTATTTTTCCCCATGCAGAAGACACAAAAGGAAACCATTATTCTGATGTTGCCACGCAATCTGCTCTAAACAGAATTTGCTCCAATTAAGAAGGCCCCAATTAAGTGAGGACCCCTGTTTTTACACAAATATCATAAGGCACTTCTTTCAATATCAGGTCAACTTTTTAAATGAATATGCTTTGACTATTCACAGGAGGTGGCTGCCCTTGCAGAAGTAATAAGCCAATGACAAGTTGGAAATATCAGAGAGAATCCTTGTTAGCAAGGAGTATCTGGAGTATTTCTGCCCCATTTTTCCACAGTTGGATATCTCAGAACAATGGGATGAAAATTTACTATATTTCTGTGTTCTTTTCACTCTCATTCCCTAACTCTCAAGCCACCTAAAAATATAATCACCCTTGCTCTGAAAACATGCATGAGAAATTATATTTGTCAGTGAACTTTCTGGTGCTTACATCGTCTCTAATTTTGATCCAAATGCCTACCAGAAAACAGATGCAGGAGACCAAGGTGTTTCCTTTCAACATGCCTTCTAAGATAAAGTGTTAACAGCTGAGGTCTGGTCCTCCAGACACAGATCAACCCCTGTCCTCACAGAAGAAAGTTCTCTAAAGCCAAGCAGCAGCCACCACTTCCTGGGCTTACCTCAACAGGCTGAGACTCTCCTAGGACAAAAATATGCAGCATGTTCACATCTGGATCTTTCTTGAATATGTTGGGCTTAGCATGATGTTGGAAGTGACGGTGATTCCACCAGTTTGCTGAGGCACCCTGCGGAGAGGAAGGAAATGTTTAGTTCATGGTTCCCACTAATGGAGAAATGATCCCCCCCCCCACACTGTAACATCCATTCACTTGTATAATCTAAACTGCACATGTCATATAGTTTATGTCCAGTCTCTTAGCTACCTTTAAAACTGTTGTAAGAGTACAGGGCCTAAATCCTCTGCTGTGACAACCTGACTGGTCCCATCTGAGGAGCTGCCCAAAGAGTATCCTCTGGTTTATTGTATCTTTTTAGAAAAAATACTAATTGCTTTGAGATCAAAAAATTAGCCCTGCTTACATGTAGCCTCTAATATTTATATCGTGCAAAGACAGGCAGACAGATGTCCTACCAGCCTGGGAAGCACAAGATAAACAGCATCCTTTATCCAGAACTCTGGTGTCATCTGATGCCAAGAATGATGTAAGGAAGGCAAAGCCATGCTGGCTTGTGCACTGGAAGAAAGAAGGTGAAAAGAATCCCTCAGCCTAATGGAAAAAAAGACAAAACTGGCCAGAGAAATGATATTTTCCAACTTCTAAGAAGGTTTTAATGGAGAATATTAAAAAACAAAAAGGACTGGACAGTTTCCTAAAAGGGTTCTATGTCCTCATTTTTTCTTTGGCACTTGTGAAACACAGTACTGAGCTATCCCACTGCCAAGGATGCTCAGGCAGAAGGCCAGCAAAGCACTTGCCTTGTAACTGGTGATACATGTTGTGGGCAGCTGGCTGCTTCCAAGAATTCAGAGTGGGCCGAGAACCCCCATCTCACAAAGCTGCCTTTAGTTTAGTCATGGAAGTCAGCATTTGGAGGTTACTTGCCCCTGCTGACACATGTTTAGAAACTGGTTGTCTCAGGTCTGCGTAATCAGAGGGCTATAAATAGTAGGGCTTTTTTGGTAAACTGGTACTGAAGGAATAGCCAACCACAATGGGGGAGCCCTCATATTTAGATTGCTGCAATAAATTGCTTTGTGTTTTTTTGGTGTTTCTTGTTCAGGACCTGCAAATGATCTTCTATAGAGTGAAGGAAGGAGCGAGAGACAACTGTGAGTAGGGCAATGGTCCAACAACGCCCTCTCCCCCAGATTTACAGATTTATCATGTAGGCTATGCCCATCTAATCCTAAAGGATTAACCTTGTTCAGTGCTCTACAGGAAGGGAAATCCTGCCTCTTCAACC